TGTCTGAGGAACAGAGAAGCAACAAGCAACATCATTTTTAGCCCAAATGAAGATTAATCAGGTTAGCAGGAAATTACACCCAACTTCCATCAAGAGTAACTAGTCATGTATAGACGCAAGAACACCCCACTTGTAGATAATACCCACTTGACCTGGCTCCAATGACTGGATGATCAGCGCTCAACCCGAAGAAGAAAGAAGAGGAAAAGAAGCGTCATCTGATACAATTTGATAAACTTGAACTTGACCTACACCTATGGATGCAGTAGCTCAAAAGAGTAAACAAATCCTTACTGCAAGAATCATTCCCACCCCCTCCACACACAGAGTAGACAGGGATGGGCAACTTGGACCTTGGCTACCCAAAATGGGGGGTGGGGAGGCTACAAAGGCAAGAAGTGACTGGCTTACAAGGCTTACAAGCTTTCAAGAGGGAACCTAGAGCCACAGGGCCCGGAGGAAAGTAGAGTCTCCAATGAGTAGTATCCAACCTGTCTAGGAAAGGCTGATGAAATGAAATGCGGCTAGGTCTCTTGTGATGCAATAGTGAATGATTGTTATCAGGACTGACTGTGAGGGATGGAAATGTAAAGGTGGACATTTTACAGCACAGAGGGGAGTGATTAAATTTGCAGTCTAGGAGCGGAGGCCCCTGGGACCATCAATGGAGAAGAACGGAGAGTGGGACACTACCCAGAGAAGCAGTGATGTCGGAGATGGAGGCAAAGGCGATGACGTGGAGAGATGGAGTGGCTGGGGACTTGAGATTCAGAGAGGGAAAGGGGCTGTGTGCTGATGACCAGGGGCGGGAAGAGCAGGCTTGCAGGGTATACCCTTTGGTTGGTTGACGATGATGCATGGACGGGATTGTAACTATGGCAATGAAATGACATTGGAGCGAATGAACACTGGTGTGAATATCGTGTGCAGCTGGCACATCTGAGCTATGGTGCTGGAGAAGAATACTGAAAATACCAATGACAGCCAGAAGCACACACAACTCTGTGTAGGAAAAGTATGGCCGGAATGCTCCTTAGAAGTCAGAATGGCAAGACTTTGTTGGTGATACTTTGGACCAGTTCCTAGAGAAGGACCTCATGCTTGGTAAATTGGAAGGTCAGCGAAAAAGAGGAAGACCCCAACCACATGGAATGGCATAATGGCAGAAGTAATGGGCTCAAGCTTAACAACAATTATGAAGATGGAGCAGGACCAGGTAGTGTTTGGTTCTGTTACATGTTAGGTCACTATGAGATGGAACTGGCACCATGACACCCAACAACAACAACATGAACAGGGATCTTCTGTGTACACTCCACCTTGTGCAATCTTCACAACAAGTGGAGGCAACTATTATTTTCACTTTAGAGGAAATACGATGTTCAGAGCTAACGATGAAAAAAAAAATGAGAATAACAAATCACCAAGTGCAAGCACAACTAAAAGTAAAATCCCATATGAGGGGCCATCAAAAAGTTCATGGGAAAAAAAAAAGAATGAAGAGAGAAGGTAATTTTTCCACAACCTTTTTTAACTCCTCTTATATAAAACTGTTTTAAGATAATATACCTGTAGCCGCTGAAACACGCCTGACCGTAGGTTGCCAAATCCATAGTGGCACTGCAGATTCAACGCGCCTTCTGATACCTCCTCATAGGGGGACTGCTCAATTTCCCAATCAAATTCTTCATCCTCTTCTAGTCCTTCCTCAGAAACCTCAGAAGCACCTGAATATGTTAAACAGTAATTTTTAAAACAATAAATAAAAGTAGTGAACGTCCTAGCTCCATATAGTAAGGACTGACTGAGCTGTGAACCACAAGGCCTGCAGTTCAAGCCCACCAGCCACTCCACAGGAGAACATAGAGGCTTTCTACTCCCACTAAGATTTAAAGCCTCAGAAACCCCATACAGGGTCAATGAGTTGGAACCGTGTCGATGGCACTTAACAACAGGTTACTATTTGAGAAAAAAACAGCATAGAAAAAATACCCTTTCTGGTAGCATAGAAGTTACAAGTTGGGCTGCCAATCTCAAGGTCAGCAGTTCAAAACTACCAGTAGTTCCGCAGGAGAAAGATGAAGCGTTCTGCTCCCATAAAGATTTATAGCCTCAGAAACCCAGTGCAGGGTCACTATGAGTCGGAAATGACTCCAAGGTACTTAACAACATCAACAACATGTGTATCAAAAGCCAAGAACAGTATTCATTATCACCACTATCTATAATAGCCAAAAATTAGACACAACCCAAATGCCCATCAATAGTAAGCTGTATAAATAAATTTAGTATATTACATACTGGAATACTCCACAGCAAAGAAAGCAAACGGACCACAGCTACAATACGGATATACTATAGGAATGAATTGTGTCCCTCAATGTGTGTCAGTTTGGGTGGACCATAATTCTCAGTGGTCTAACAGTTATGAAACAATCCCTCTGATGTGATCTGATGCGATAAGCCAATCCGTTATAAATGGGTGAAGGGTGAGATGTAACACCCTAAATCCCATCACAGTCCTGATCTGATCTAACACCTTCTGTCTTATAAGAAACAAAAGAGGTGTGTGTGTGAGAGAAAGAGAGATGACAGATAGAGAGAGACCTACTATCTATCTATCATCAGGAAAAAAGAGCCACGAAGGGTCCTTTCACTGGGAACTTCCCAACCCACATGCCAAGGCACGTGGAGATCTCCAATTCAAAAACAGGCAAAACTGAACAAAGTCAAAACCTTGGAGAAGAAAGAGGAAGAAGTAAATGGGAGAAAGCACAGGGCAAGATTCCAGGGAGATGGAAATGTTATTTTATGTAGCTCACTGAACTGTATAGTTCTGATCTTAGCTCAAAAGTTAAAATTTTCCCCAAAACAGGGAAACTGTCTCAAAGGGTCAAAAATGTGACTGACATGATGGTTTAACAGGACTCTTTTTTTCAATCATATTCCATCAAATGAGATATTTTCACATGTGTTTACCCCATAAATTTTGTCACCGTATGAATTTTCTCCTATATTAAATTCACTATATTCCTTTGCCCTACACATAACTTGCCAAATATTTCTTTTATATTAATTTCCGCCCAAATGCAATGAACATACCTATTTCTTCCACAAGTGGCTTCGCATTCCTAGATTTTCTGGGTGCAAGGAGAGCAGTCAGCATGTTCAGCCCCTCAAAATGTTGACCAGGAGTCTCTTTGGGCAACCGAATGGTGAAAATTCCTTAAAGACAAATATGTTCTATGCTCAGATTGATTCAAAGATTAAAGGCTTCACATACATACCTAAGAAACATGACTTGGTAAAATATAACTCTAATTCATAAGCTCCAAAATTATGACTTTATTAATAGTGTGGCATTCTAAGATAAGCACTGGACTACTAGCCATGAGTTCTGCAGGTCAAACCCACAGCTACTCCTCAGAAATCCTATACAGGGTCGATATGAGTGGCAATCAACTCAACAGCACTTACCTTTCGTAAATACTGTTTTTGAGTTATAACCTTGACAAGAAAAAAATCTTTTAAAGCTGCAGAAAGACCCATCAGTATTATTAAAATTCTAAGTCAAAACTTCTAAAACTCCATGGATCAAAAGGTACAACAGTTTAGAATTAACCAACAGCTACTTATAAAATGTAGAAATGTTTTTAAAAATCAGGATACTGGACTAACCATAAGGTTCGCAGTTCAAACCCACCAGCCGCTCCTTGGAAAACTAATATAGGGTCGCTATGAGTCAGAATTGATTCTACAGCACTTAACAACAACAATAACCCAGGAAGGAGGAAATGTGGTACCACAATGATTAACCACACAGCCACTAACTCAAACATTAAAGCCTAGGCAACTCTAGGGAGCAGTTCTTCGCTGTCATCTTGGGTTTTTGTAAGTCAGAATCAACTGCACTGCACACAGCAAAAATACAACAACCCAATAGAGAATCACAGCACTCTCAAAATCATACAAAATTATGTAAAGCAATTATGGCTTAATAAAACATCTTTGTAATTTCAAGGGACATATGCCTCAAGCCTGTGTAAGGCAGACTGAAATTCTATCTATGCTCATGTTTTCTTTCCTTGACTGGATTTAACAACCTCACCTAAGTACCCCTATGAATAAACTTAATTACATTATTTATTACTCTTTCATTTAAAACATTTTGTGTTTGAGGGTACTGAACTATTTTCTAGCATACCAGATATAACTAAACCCAAATATATCCACATAAATAACCTTCCTAAACCCCTGTGTACTTTTAAATTTTAATAACTTTGCTTCACTATGCAACCTATCTGCAATTAAAAACAGATTTACTACCTAGGAAGGCAGTTGCATTATACTTCATTATCACATTAATTACCTCGCATTATGAGCTAGAATTTTGTCACTTAATTCTTCCTACCCTCCCTCTCTTAACCCAGTGCACAGAGGTCAATAAATAATCACTGACTAAATCACACAAAGGTACACAAGCTATTTTTATTCCAGATTTAGTGGCAAAGGAAAATCCAGAGCTTCCACAAGGGCAAAATCAACTACTTCATGGCTAGTGAAAATGAAGTAGCTATCAATCACACTAAGAAAACTCAATCAGCCTTTAAATTTAAATGTCAGCCAGGGACTGCTTTTGTTCCTCGATCACCTACATGTTTTGTAATTTTAAGTGTGAAATTATGAAAGAAAACTTCCTTCTAATAATTGATAAATCAACCATAAACTTTACAATCAATTGCCTTGCACATTCCAACTGTTACTTTTAAACGTTCAAAACTTTTGAATGTAGGGAAAGATGGAAATAAAACTTCTAGAAAAAAAGAACTCTGCTTTGCAAAATAATGTGAAATATTTTGAAAAGCCTGTTGAAATAATTGCCAAGGAATTCACAAATTGTAGACAATCAGTATTAAGAAACAGAAAAGGCAAAAGGGACAGACTGAACTTGCAACATATCGTTTCCTGAGAATTTATTATATAGTTACCCTAATAGGAAGAATCCAAAGTGAAAAATAAACAAGAACATAGCGACCCTAAGTAGGGTTTCTGAGGAGCGGCTGGTGAGTCTGAACTGCCAACCTTGCGGTTCAGATCGACCTTGTGGTCCAGGGCTTTATCCCAGAGCGCCACATTAATCCCTAGATGTGGTGGCTTTAAGACTCGAATATGACTCAAGGGCAGATGGCCATGTATTTCCCCAAAGCTAGTGGCTTTGAACACAGAACCTCTCAGTTATCAGCGTGCTCACCAGTATTCCTTAGTAGTCAAGGTACTAGAGACTTGAAGAGGATGAGAAACTTGGTTCTGTGACTTTTAATTGTCTTCAAATCCAACAGTGAGCCAGTGTGCTCGACAACTCATTCCCCACTACCTGGTCTACAGATTCACAGGGGGCAGCTGGAATGGGCAATGGGAGGGCACGAATTCTTTATTCTCAAGTGGAGAAAACTGGCAATAGCAGCTATCCAACTGAAACAGTGAATATTTTCTTAATATTAATATCATTACTATTAATATTAAGTCTATAATCTGTTATACTCCCCTGAAGGATCACCTGGAAATGAGAACAGTTTCCAACGAGCATTTCAGAGTATGCAGGTGTTCATGTTGGATACCCATAATGGCTGTGCTTATCATTCTAGATGGATGAGCATCTTCAAACTAGTCATGAACAACTGGTGAGTCTAAGTAGACTGTGCAGCCTCTCAGAGTGTGGGTTGCTTGCATAACCGGAGCTGCTAGTTCACCGGAGTCCTGGTGTGGCGCTGTGGGACAATGCACTGGACCGTGGGGTCACTTTGAACCTCGTGGTTCAGATTCGCCAGCCACTCTCTGAAGGCCCTATGCAGGGCCACTGTGAGTCAGAGACAACTCGAAGGCACTTGGCAACAACAGTTTAGTAGGTGGGTCTACTCTTTCAGTTATGGTGCTGAAGAAGAATATTAAAAGTACTATGGACACCTGGTGGTGGTTATGTGTCGTGGAATTGGTTCTGACTCATAGCGACCCTGTACAGGGTTTCCGAGACTGTGAATCTTTACGGGAACAGAAAGCCTCATCTTTCTTCCACGGAGCAGCTGGTAGTTTCAAACTGCTGACCTTGCGGCTCACAGCCCAATTCATAACCACTACGCTACCAGAGCTAGAAGAACAAAAAATTCTGTGTTGGATGAAGTACAGCTAGAATGTTCCTCAAAGCCAGGATGGTGAAGCTTCGTCTCTCATACTTTAGACATATTACCAGGAGGGACCATCCCCTGGAGTAGGGCATCATGCTGGCCAGCAAAAAAAGGAGGAAGGCCTCCAGTAAGCTAGACTAGCACAGGGGCAGCGGCAACGTAATCAAGCGTAATGGCTGTGAGGCTGGCACGGACCAGGCAGCGTTTCATCCTGTGGGGCACAGGGTCCCTGTGAGTACGTACTGACTCTGATACCGAACAACAACAACTCTTGAAGAACACAACTGCAATGGGAACAAGTTGGGAAGTTCTACTTTCTGCTGACTTTCAACCTGGTGACACTGTTTCTTGTTGAGAGGACTCGTCAACATGGAGGTAGGGTTAGCAGAGTTTGACTGCTGACTTACAAATAATCCAGAGACAGCCTTGTGCTCAGTTGTTGTTTAAAAAAGGAAAAGACTCTAAAGATACAGTGGAACTGTCGCCGCTTCGTCAATGACCAAGACAAATAAAGTCCAGGGCCTCCTTAGCTAGAACTGGCCCTGCTGGGCCACTGTAGCAGAGCCACCAGGGCACTTGATTTGGAATCAAACAAAGCTGGCTTTGAATTGCCTTCCATCAATTTCTCAGAATATGATTTTTGACAATTTTGTAATGCTCAGCTTTAAATTGGGGATAACCACACAGTGGTGAGAACAAATTGACCCCCAATTCTTTGATCCTACTACCACTGAAAGACGGGAGTCTGTGTCTCCTCCCCTCATATCTGGGATATGACAGTGGTGCTGTGAGTGTCAAGGGGAAGACAGCCATCGTGAAAGACTCCCCTGTAGAAGTCACCTATACATTCCCATTCAACAGATTCTGCTTTGTAGTAACAAGGGTCATCCATCTGTGTGGGTGTGCTTCTCTGGTGGTAGAGATCCGTCAGAAACTTCAATGTCTTCAGGTCATGGATTCCCTTGGTACCTCCTTTCCCAGGTCTCTGGTCAAGCCTGCTCTTAACCAACCTACTCCTTTTCCAGCAGCTTGTGGTTTTGAATCATTCACTGGTCTCCTAGCAGCTTAAACACTGCACTACCAGGCCACCTTGAATCAAGCCTATCTTTGTCTGGAAGCCAAAGTGAAATCTGTCCAACATGGTGACCCTGCTGGTATTTAAAATGACATCGCTCCCAGAATCACAGCCACACAAGCCTTCACAGTACAACAAACTGACCGAAAAGTGGTGGACAGCACATACAAAGCCTGCAAAACCTTTTGGTTTGGCCCTGCCAAGGCCACTAAATCCCAGCCAGTGTACTATTGTTACTGTTGTTGTTGGGTGCTGACCAGTCGGTTCCGAATCATGGCGACCCTGGGTGGGGCTTCCAAGGAGCAGCTGGAGAATTTGAACTGCTGACCTTGCAGTTCAAACAGACCTAGAGGTAGTATGCTTATCCTATTGCGCCACACCAATACTCCACCACGTTGTTGTTGTTAAGTGTCGGCGAGTCGGTTTCAACCCATAGCAACCCTGTATAGCATTTCCTAGGAGCAGCTGGTAAACTTGAACTGCCGAATTTGCAGTTCAAAAGTCTCTGCAGTCTGGCTCATTAACCCACAGTGATGTGACTGTGGGTTAAATATTAAATATTAAATAAATAAATAAACTATAAAAAATTCCAAACACAATATTAAATAAATAAATATTAAATAAATAAATAAACTATAAAAAATTCCAAACACAATACCTTTATCTGCATCATAGGATCCTTGCTCACTTCCATTTTCAACAATTCTTCCAGGAAGGGTTAATCTGCAGATTTAAAGCAAGGTCTCATGAAGTCCTTAAATTACAAAGCAGCACAATTGATCATCAGCGAAAATATGTCATTAACCCATGGAAATCTATCACACCAGTTATAAAAAACTCCTCAGCATCTCTCACATTTTACAAACCAAACAGGTGAAGGGAATCAGAGACGTCTAATGTTTGTTTTTACACAATCTCCTGTTGTTGGCGGACGAACTCACACGGGGCAGAGAGCAACTGCTCCACGGGGTTTTCTCGGCTGCAATCTGTATGGGAGCAGAGCACCAGGCCTTTCTTCCGCAGTACTACTCACTCATTGCCATCAAGTCAGTGCTGACTCACAGCCACCTAGACAGGGTTCCTGAGGCTGTAAATCTTACAGGGGGCAGAGTATCATCTTTTTCCATGGAACCAAGTGGTGGGTTTGAACTATCGATAGCAAAGCTGGCAGTCCAGTGCTTAGCCTACAGCACCACACTAGGACTCTCCTTGCAGTACTGCTAGGGGGCTTCAATCTGCCAACCTTTAGGTTAATAGCAGAACACAAACCACTTTCATCACCTGCTGCTGTTGTTAGTAAATGCCATCGAGTCAATTCGAACTCACAGCAACCCAGTATAGGGTTTCTGAGGGGCAACTGGTAAGTCTGAATCACCAAGCTTGTGGCTCAAACTGACCTTGCAGTCCTGCACAGAACCCACAGAGCCACCACAATTAGTACAGCAGGAAAAAAACACTACAAGAACAGAAAAAAATCAACGTAAATGTTTGTGGCAATACAAAACCTGCAAACAGAAATGAAAAGATTAATACGAAAATCTCAGAAGTGGATAATGCACTGAAGGGGCAAAGGAATAGAGCTGAATAAATGGAAGTCTCAATGAGTACTCCTGAAGATAAATCTCTCAATACTATTAACCCTTTAACCTACAAGAACAATATGGAAAAAGAATGAAAAAAAAAAACCAGAAGAAAGCCTGAGATTAATGTGGGACACCATGAGTAGGAATAACTAAGAGGGCACTGGAATTCTAGAAGAAGAAAAGACAATAAAAAGCACAGAGAAAATTGGCAAGAGTTTCTGAAAGAAAACTTCCCTAACATCATGAAAGATGAAAAGATAAACATTCAAGAAGCTAACAGACCAGAACAGGATAGACCCCAAAAGAATATCACCAAGACATAACATAAACAAACTTTCCAAAACCAAAGAAAGAAAAGACTGCTTAGGGCAACTCAGGAAAAAGTAAAAGCTACCAGAACACTTAATTGTGCTCATAACCATGAGGCAGTTGTTTGAACAGAAAAAGAGGATACTGTAAGGTCTAAAATCAGGAAAGGTATATACAAGGGATATATTCTTTTACCATATTTACTCAATCTGTATGCTGAGCAAACAATCAGAAAACCTGGATTATGTGAAAAAGAACATGCCATCAGGAATTCAGGAAGACTAATTACCAACGATATACAAAACATACAACCCTGCGTGCCGAAAGCGAAGAGGGCTTAATATTAATACTGATGAAAATCAAAGACCACAGCCTTCAGTGTGGATTGCGCCTCAAAGCAAAGAAAAAAAAAGAATCCTTATCACTGGAATAGTAAATAACATCAGGATAAATAAAGAAAAGATGAAAGTTGTCAAAAACTTCAATTTGCTTGCAAACACTATCAACACACATGGAAGCAGCAGTCAAGAAATCAAAGACTGTATTCCATTAGGCAAATCTGCTGCAGAACATCTCTCTAAAGTGTTCAAGAGCAAAGATACCAGTTTGAGGATTAAGGTGTGCCTGACACAAGCCATGATATTTTTAATAACCTCTTATGTATGTGACAGTTTGACAATCAGTAAGGAAGATCATAGAAGAACTGATATATTTGAGTTATGATGTTAAAGAACAGCATTAAAGTTTCATGAACTGCCATAAGAACAAACAAATCTATGTTGAAAGAAGTAAAACCAGAATGCTAATGCTCCCTAGAGGCCAGGATGACAAGAGTTCATCTCTCATACTTCGGCCATATTATTAGGAAGGACCAGTCTCTGGAGGACATAATGCTTGGTAAAGTGGAGAGACAGGTAAAATGAGGAAGACCCCCAATGAGATGAACTGACACAGTGGCAGGAGCAATGGGCTCAAGCACAACAATTGTGAGGGTTGCGAAGGACCAAGCAGGGCTTGATTCTGTTGTATGCAGGATCAATATGAGTCAGAGATCAACAACACCTAACAACAGTAACAACTAAAGAATAAATAAGACCTCTCACTCCCTAATCTCAAAACTTCTACACAGTCACAGGAGTCAAAACAGCCAATACTATTACAATAAAAGGCACACACATCAGTGGAACAGATTGAGAATCCCGAAGTAAATCTATCTACCTACAGTCACTTGGTCTTCGACAGAAAGCCAAATACACTAAATGGGGAAGACACAGTCTCTTCAACAACTGGTGTTGACAAAACTGGAACTCCATCTGCAGAAGAATGCAATAAGATCCATATCTCACACCATATACAAAAACAACCTCCATGTGAATTAAGGACCTAAATGTGAAACCTAGAATCATAAAGATCATCAATGAAAAAATAGTGACAAACTTAGGGGCTGTGATATATGACATAAATAAACAATCAAAGGTAACTTAAAACACAAACAGAAGACAAAATAAACCACTGGGACCTCCTACAAATTAGACACTTAAGTGCATCCAAAGAATTTACCAAATGAGTAAGAAGAGAACCCATAGAATGGGAAAACATTTTTCATAATGACGTATCAGACAAGGGACTCTACAACTTATAGATCATTACAACAGCAAATAATCCAATTTAAAAGTCGACAGCGTGGAGAACAAACAAGATGGTGGATAGGGTGGAAGTGCAGTAAGGAGCTCTGTCAGCAACAACACAGAATACCAGACCAAGCAGGCTCAGTGGAGTGCCAAAACTCTGAATTACATATAAAGGACTATTTAGAAGGTTGGAAGGCTTACAGCTAGGGGAATTTGCAGCAGAAGCAAGAAATCCATTGTTTTCTAATCCAAGACGCTCAGATGGTCCTGGAGCCGCCATTTTTGAAGTGACTAAGCGGGGGAAGGATCAGAGCAGCCACAGACACCTGACAGAACTGCGGAGATAAACGTGTGGACACTATCTGCACACCTCCATTCTGACGACTGGGGGGGTGCCTTAGTGAGTGGACACCCCACCCCCACCACTGGAGGGTTCTACTACACTTGTGCACAGATCTCCTCAAAATTTAAAGTGACAGTTTCCACTTAAAACCA